ACAATAATGAAAAATGCCAGTTATAAATTCATATTGTTTGACCATACAAGTCAACAAGAAACATTAAATGTTTTTTAATACCATTTTTACGTAAGCAAATAATTAAGCTTTTAAGCTTAAGCTTTTAAAAAGGTGCAAAATAAAAGTACTGCATTTCCTGTTTAAGTCATTATGATTGTGAATTACTCACAATGTTGTGTTTATCTCTCTGGAAGATGTCTGACGTTTGTTTCCTGACTCTAATAAGGCTTGTGAGCCAACGGTTTAGCGATGTTGGTATTACGTGATATCTTGGTGTGGTCACAGATCAAGAGTCTTCACAGTTGCCACTTGAGGGGGGCAGTCAGTTCAATGTCCACCCAGTGAGCAGGAGCCAACACAGTAGCAGCGGCTAACATCCAAAACATTCCCAACAAACTTGCACTGACACCGAAACAGCTCAGCATTGTCATTACACCAGTTAATAACCATGACGTAATCAGTGCAATTGTAACAGTTAGCCCAGTGATTGTGTGTGTAAGTGGGCTCTGTCCCTGGTGTGGAGCTAACAATCCCTCAGCAATAGTCTCCTTGGGAAGGCGAAGGCGGAGGAACTGCGGGGTTCTCATGATAAACAGAGAGCGAGAGCTGGGCAAGTCATAAGAGTAACGTTAGCCTACTATGGGCCATAGTAGGTCAGTTGCCTCTATCCAGATCTTTGAATCTGCCCACTTCGAGTTGACTAACTTGTCTGGCATTGTGACATGAAATGGCAGTTTCCTAATTAAATTAAAAACCAACCAATGAGCGCCGCGATGGGAGGAGTAATAACAATGGCAAAACAAAGATACTCTTTAACAAATAGATAACCCATTACAAGTTTCGCCAATGGTACAAAATGGCACATACTTCCAGTTTCCTGAGTGGACATGGTAATTTCTCCCCCACATACCCCCACCTCATTTGGAAGTATAATATACATTGTGTGGATGGATGAAAGCAGACTTAAAACAATATAACACAGTGTAAGATCACATCAGTTGTTGCCAGATCTGGCAAGAGTTTGGTGCTAAAACAGAGACACGCCATTTCAGCGTCAGGTTGGGACTTTACTTCAGTAACTAGGGAGCAAAGGGAATGGTCTTAATCTGTACTCACATTCACTTTTTCCATTGGAATAAATGGACTCAGGACCGCTGCTTGTCTCCTAAAGAAGGGGGGCAGTGGCGAAACCCGGGTGACACAGATATAGGAAATGAATCTAAAGAGGGCCGTCTCAGTATATCAGTGGTCTCTGGTTAAAACAATTGATTCAATGGATTCAAATAGATCTTACATTTGAATGTTCCAAGATCGATCTTTTAATAAATGCCACTAATCTCGTCTGCACTGAAGAGGCTCTGGCACTAAATTACTTATCGACAAGCTCCAAGATTACTGGCTCATTTATCTGCAACTGTTAGCCTACTTTTTAATGTTTTGGTGTAATTTATTATCATGCTCTCCTTTAGCTGTCTGTGCGTCGGGGCTGCTCCTCCACACAAGCATGCACGCACACACACACACACACACACACACACACACACACACACACACATAAAAACAGAGCCAACAGCAGAGCCGACAGGCTGTGGTAGAGACAGGGAGGTGAATATTACTCCAGTTGAAGAAAACTAATGTTGCACTTTATCAATACACCCGTTCAGCAAGCATATTTGAATCGGCTCTGCCCACAGTCTTATCCATCTGCACTAACGTTGTGCTTTACATGCTTTATGTTGCTAAAAGCAACTCACTGAGCTGATGTAAATCAGCTAACTAGCTTAATCCAATCAAATCTGCTAGCGACAGTCGTCAACTTCAGCTGACAAAAAAAGTCGATTGTTAGCTAGATATGAAAAGCCTGATTTTGTATATTTTTGTGCAACATGGCAGGTGTAGCATCAGTAGCTAAGCTAAGTGCAGGGTCAATTGTTCCAGCTCCAGTTTCTAACATTCCACTTTGCATCCATTGGGATTACAGTTCTTTCGAGCAGGACATAAAATCATGTCTGCAAAAATGCCTCCAGACACAGCAGGTGTTTCACAGCAAAAGACTGGGTTTTTAAGTGAGGATCAACAGGGCGGTGGTACAGTCGAGGTGTATTATGTGACTACAGAGCAAGTGAAGCCATGGAGACATTTGTGTTTGGTTCTCTGTCCCAAGGTAGAAAACTTGCTTAGTCACTGTCTCAGGTTATCTAGGCAGTGTAGTGACTCACAATGTGCTTCAAAGAATATAATACTGTCTTCTCTCTTGCTAAAAGTCTGCTCTTTCCCCTTCTGACAGTGAAAGGCAGTATACAATTGCAGCATATTTTGTCTCGTTAAAAATACATTTGTGCAAATGGGAGAATGCTATCTGGGTCAGAGAGTGCCAGTGATACTATGGCTGTGTGGAGGGAAAAGTTTGTGTGAGGCAAAAAATGGCGTTTTATGTTTTTCCTGCGTCGAGCTGGGACAGCAGGAGGACAAATAATGAGATAACTTATCTTTAGAAATCTCCAATTAGAGAACATTCCCCACTGGAGTAATTACACCTCTGGCACTACATGAACTCAATAGCAGTAATATTGCCTCACGTTTCTCAGGTATCCTTTATATTCAAACAGTTTGTTTGCAGACTGGAGTTACTGTAAGGTGACTCTCCATACCACACCAGTCCTATTGTTTTATTCATATAAGGAGCAGGTGAAAGGTCGATCATATTCTGTGAAACTTAGGAGATAAGATTCCGGTTCTATGCAGAATACCTTATGACATGTCTTGACATGATGTGAACTCAATAGCAGTAATCTCTTGTGTTTCAGGTGTCTTTTACATCAAGAGGGATTATTTGAATTCTGCTACTGAAATGTGACTCTGTACCAGACCACTCCTGTTGTTTTATTCATTTAAGGATAAAAGGTAGCGGAACAACTGCCTTTAGGTGGAGCTGATGATGTGATGAGAAACCAGATTGGTACAGAAAATAAGCAAAGAATACTAGTAGATATTTACATAGCTGTAGGGCAAAATCTATGTCAATAATTACAGTTGAAATAATTAAATATTGTAAGTGACATTGTGATTGACAATTTCCTACAGTGTTGTGGTTTGACTTAACAGTCGGATGGAAACTCAATATTATCTCTACCTTAAATTTCATCACTATTAGACATTCCTGTAATGAAGCTACAGAATAATGTGGTACGCAATAGATGTTATTTGTGTCCTGCACAATCACTCCTACTCTTAAAGGAGTATCATAATCACATTTATATAATAGTACCTATAGTATCAGACAGTAGAGTTTGTACACATGTAGGCAGTGTGGCTGCAGTATTTGTACTGGTATTCTTTCAAAAATGCACTTAGTTAATCAGTTTATTTAATCATAAGGGAGAAGCCTTGGTACCTCTCCTCACTACAGGTCATGGAGGTCATTTCTCTAAAGTGACTAATACAAAAGAGCCCATAGAGGGATTAATGTGTAAATTGATGGCCTGATAATCAACAGCTATTTTGATGATTGTCTAATCATTTAAGTCATCTTTTAAGCATTCTCATAGGTTCCAGCATCTCATTTGTGAGGATGTGCTGCTTTTCTTTGTCATATGTGATGGTAACCTGAAAAGCTTTGACTATTTGCTGACAGAGACTAAACACATGTTTAATCGTTAACATAATTAGCAGATGAATCAGTATAATCAAAATAATCAATATAGCTTATCAGTTTTGCTGATACATTTTGGAGATGGATGTAAAGTCAGTCTTAACATCCTTTCAGTCTGCAATGGTAAAATGACTGGTTGCAAACAGAAGGCAAATGAGGCTTGAAAGGGTAACTTCTGTATTTTTAAACTGGGTGTTAAAGTGACTCATTCAACAACTTTTGAAACTGGTGCAGTACTGAGTGAGAGGGCTGCAGTTGGTTGCGGTGAAACAAGCTGCAATGTAATCACTTGGGGCAATAGCGCACTCTCAATATATGTCCACTAAAAGTGTGTGTTCTTGTTAGAGACAGGCTCAGATTATTATTATAAGTGTCTAACAACATTATGGAAAGGATCCTTACAGAGACAGAGCTTGTGTTAACAAGTAAGTTCCTTTTTGTTTGACCAAAAACAGCTCTGAAATTGCCATTGCCAAACCCACCAGACTCCATTTAAATAAACACTATGTATTATGTATAGAGCCAGCATATTTTCACATCTAACTGGGTGAATTAAGGGTTTATTTCCACCAAACCACAGTTGGTGATTGTGAAACAGTGAAAATCGAACGAAAATAAAACTACTGTTTATCTAAATGGAATCTGATGGCTTTGGTGATGCCGATTTCAAGGCCGTTTCGGATAAAACACAAAGGATCTCACATCAACAATAGAAGATATGTCTGTGTAGGGATCATTTCCATTATTATCAGACACTTCAAATAACAATCTGGGCCTGTCAGTGGCAAAACAAGCAATTTTAGTGGCTGTAAATTGATGATGCACAATTGCCCCAAGTGGTAACACTGCAGCCTGTTTCACTGCTGCCAACTGCAGCAGTCTAGTTTTCAAAAACTATTGTAGCCATAAAAACAATGAGAAAATTGGGTCCAAGTTGAATAATACCGAAGTTGCCCTTTAAGACAACACCAGCAGACCTAATCTTGACGCCCCATGTGTAGAAGGTCCCCAAATTGAGATCTGATTTAAAGTTAGTTCAGTAGCAATATGTTGTTGCTTTTATGGTACAGTTTTATAAGTTACACTGACTGCTTACTAATCAATACAATGCAAAGTGAGTGGGGATACCTGGGGGTTATTGCAGTAAGGTGCCACAGCTCACTGAAATACATCTTAGTTTCTTTTTCTACATTGTCACTTGATGAACACGTGTAGATACACTCAGTCATTCAGTCGGTATCTATTCCTGCCCCAGGACACATAGCTTTAATGTAACTTTAGAGTGCTGACAGTAAACTTTACCCTCTTGTTGCTAACGGACACTCACCGTCTCTTAGGTACCGTTGCCCTGCAGAACGTTCTCGGACAGCGCGAGCCCACTTCTCCGCCTCCTCCAGGTTAGCGCGCGGGTCCTGGAGCGCGGCGAGGCGAAAGCACTGCTCCGCTCTCTGCCGCGACACCCCGGAACTCATCCAGCGGCGTTTGAGCGGGTAGAAGTAGACTGCCAAGTACGCTGCCGGGTCCGCGTTGTCATCCTCCCGGTAAGCCCGGCAACCGACGCAGTCCTTCAGGCTGAGCACCACCTTGTTCCGCCCGACAGGTGCCGAAGTGAGCTTCTGGACGATGAGGTCGCTCTCGGTCAAGCTCACGGCACACCTGACTTTTCGGTTACCAGTGACCGTGAATTCCCCGTACAGCGATACCGGGTTGATGCTGGTGTAGCGGTCCGGTTCAGCTCTCCTCGGGTCCATCCTGAGCGGACGGGGGAGACCGAGACGCGGGGGGTCCGGGATAAAGCAGCACCCTCTCTGTCACATAGCTACCCGCCTGAATGGTGCGAGCGAAGTGGAGACTACTGAACTGCGGCTGACAGCCTGCTGCTCGGACCGGTGTCAAGAAAAACGGAATCGAACGCACCACTTCCGGCTACATTTCAAAATAAGAGCCATAGTTAGGTACCACTGGGGACACTAAAGCCTTGCTAAAGATTCCCCTTGCAGTGACTTGCAACTACTACGTACACAGAAGCATAACAAGTGGCATAAACAGTAACTAATAACACACTATATCTCTCTATAAGCATCTCCCTCTCCTTCTCTCCTCCACACGCATGCACACACCTCCTGACATTTTCCTTATAGGTCAGATACACGGCATAGTTTTACACAGTCCATGGCAGCAACAGCCATGTTTACAACAACAAAGTCACTATAGAAACTCAATAATATCTCACTGCAAAACACATCTAACATGTCAATAAAATAATATTCCTCATAATATAACACTGATTGACTATGCTAACATGCTGATGTTTGGCAGGTATAATGTTTGCCATGTTCATTATCCTAGTTTAATGTGTTAGCATGCTTAGATTTGTCACTAAACACAAAGTACAGCTGAGGCAATGTCATTAGGCATGATGTTATTCCTGATTATTCCCAAGAGGGTTGTGAATATTTGTACCATATCACATGGCAAATCATCCAATAATTGACAAGACATTTCACTAAAAGACCCCAAATGTCAAACTCTGGATGGCATTAGGGAAAAGTCAGGGGATCACCAAAACTTTATGCCAATACATGAGGCAGATGTTAAGATATTTAATGAAATTTCTGATCTGCTGGTGGCCTTAAGCAGCCTTCACACCCAAGATTCCCCTTGCAATGACTTGCAACTTGCAACTGCGTGCACCCATTCGCAACTTAATGGCCTTGCAACGTCATGCAACAGTGCAGTTCACAACGAGGCACCGAGCTGAGACTGGCTCTTGCAACATCATGTAAACCACTGTTGTTTCTACAGCAACAGGTGTAGCATAAAGGTGAACAGCACAACAAACCCCAGAGAGCACATGGATGCATCAGCAGAGCGCCCAACTCTTCTTGCACAAACCAGCCTATACAAGCTTACAGGGCCCCTGAGGTTCTGGGGCCCCAGAGAAGTTGCCCACTTTGCCCATTCAGCAATCCAGCCTTGCTGGGTGTTAGTGACAGTATCAGTGGGTTCTTAATAAGCACTGAACATGGTCATGGTGCATGTATTTTCCATTAATCAGCCTGTGATGTAGGAGACATTAGGTGAATACAATGCGTTTTAATTAACGAGGTGATAGGCAGACAACAGCACTACTGTGAGTCTGAATGGGTCGTAGCCACACTCTCAATTCAGGACAATTAAACACTTTTTTTAGAGAAGATAATTTAGTAGTTCACTTCTAACCAGTCATTTTTAGTCACTGATTTACTCCACATATACTGTCACAATCCACAGAGACTATCAAAGGACCAGTTCATGCTTTTATTTTGAAGCTCATAACCGACAGTTTCTCTGAGCAGTTGCGGGTGTCTCCTGCTGACTTGACGCATCTCTGCTCAGCCGCATCTCAGGTTGAACTTTGCTGTTCATTAGTTCTGCCCGTAGAAGAGAGGCGGTCTGCTGCCCTCTAGTGGTACTATCAGGGAAACACCAGGTTAGACACCGTAATCATCAGTATCACATTAAAATAATTTGGACTAATTATCTGTATTTACCATATTAATAACATAGTATTCTATTAATAATATTCTATTATTATTTACAGGCTATGTTAATGAAGACAATCTGTCCTTCATGAAGTGACGTGGGGTTGCTGTGGTCTTACATGCTTAACATAAGCAATAATGGCTCTGCTCTATTTAAGTGTCCCATTAAGTCATAGCAGTGTGACAGCGAGCCAGCAGGCACAAAAGCAAGACCCTGAAAATCAAGCAAGTTTAATTCATCTGTCATTAATTGTATTATTTACACTCATGATATTCCCTCTGTGGTATATCAAAATGTCTTCTGGGAAAAAGGCCAGTTTAAAAAAGCTTGTTAACTGACGTTCTCTTTTGACACCTGAGACAAATGTACAGAATATCTGCTATCACTATTCGTATCAATAATACAAGCAATGTTCTTTTCTGAACACTTCCTATACAGTTATCTGAGGCATTGTGACCATACTGTATTGTGACACTGTAAAATGCAAATAATGATTTACATGGAGCCAGAATCATGTTACATATTGCACTAACATTTCAGTATCCCTTCAGTCTGACAAAATGCACGTCTGTTAATCATATCTTAAAAAAACTTTGAGAGTTAATATACTAAATGGGTACAGTAAGAATACAAAAAGCTATTTCAGAAATTAAAACTAAATGCCTCTTGTCTAGAAGTTTGTCTGCCCTTCAAAGATGGATTGTGCCTTACATGATTGCTGAACACTGACGCAACATCCTTATCAAACACTGTAGCAACAAATGACCTCAGAAGATTAGAGACGGGGAGTGCAGCTCTTTGTATTTAATTAGGTTTCCCACATGAATACAAATGCAGTTTAATTAGTGATAACTGGAACCAAACTCAAGTTCTGATGAGCAAAACAAAAAGTGTAATTAAAAATGTGCGTTTCATTGTCATGGTGTCCATTCACATCAGTGAATGTCTGTACACACACTTCCACATAAGTGGGACTGCAAATTGAGAAAATGGCATTGATTTATTTGTTAAGGGATAATTTACAGAGATTCATGGATGTGATTATATTTTAACTGATTTCAGTTTAGCCTCCATCAGACAGAGGATGATGAAAACAGTGAGGTGTGACTGAGGATGAATGAAAAATGATTCAGAAAAATATCATCTCCAAAGAACAAATGCATTTTAATAAATCCCAAATCCATTAAACAGTGGCCACTGTGGTGCCAAACAGTGCATTTACTCGAGTTCAGTGCATTTAAGTGACAGCTGCAAGTCACTCTGCAAATTAAGATTCTAAATGAAAAACATGATGACTTAGCTCCACCAAGTATATTTTGCTTTTTCCATCATCACATTTAGGAGTAAAACAATCCTGATGATCTATATAAGTAAACCTTGTATAGACATTTTATGTGTCTGCTTCAGTTTCCTTCAAATGTTTTTGCAGATCAAGAAAGCAAATGTCCTTTTTAAGTACTAATTGACTGTATACTTGTATATACTGTATTATATTTCTGACTTACTGAGGGATGATGTATAGGCTGCTATGATACCCATGGGGACGGGGACGATGTGATATAGCACCACAGTGATTATGTTGTATTAGGCCAGGAGCCAGGTCCAGCTGTCAAGTTGTTGTCTGCTACCTTTTTTTTTTTCACTATTATTTCCTGTTCGCCTAAACTTTACCTTACCATCACAACTTTATAACAAGTACCTCCAACTCTGGGCTATTTGGTCTCTCAGGGGGCCAGAACTACTTTTTTGGGAGATGGCAAAATGATGGGAATGCAAATATTAAGGTATTACAACTGCATTAATAGTCATACAAGTATGAAGTCTGGCATGGAGGATCCTGAAACCAAGGAGGAAGTAGCTTTCGCTGCCAGTCTATTTCAAAATATCCCCCAAACATCATCAAAATTTTATGTTTTGCAGCAGTTTATGGTGAATGTCATTCACTTGTATAAAGAAAACTTCCCAAGTTTATCAGCCTCAATTTGAGTCCAAGATGACCTATCTGTCTTGAAAATTACACTTGCTTTTGCCTAAATCTTTGATCCTCGATCCTTGAAAACAAAATTTCAGTCGCTAGCCCTCCAGATAGTGTAATCACCAGCAGTGTGAACCCACAAATGTTGAGTACTCCAAAGTTTTATGTTATAAATGCACACTACACTTACTTGTGAAGATTGTCACAAGGCATCTACATGCTAATGAGGTGTCATGGTGATTGTGCCACCAACTGGCAACAGGAACGGCACATAGTGAACACAGGAAGTTGTATGAAATGTTCATTAACTCTTTCCAGCACACACAGTCTATGACAGTTACACCATCTCACTGCTGCATGCGTGTCTGACTTTCACAGAAATTAACAGCCACATCAGCTGGTGTCCACGACGTTACTTGCAGCTTTAATTATTATTGTCTTGTTATATGTTTTTATCATCTTTTTTTCTATCACAGATTTCTATCACAGATGTTTTGTCTTTTATGTTCAGCCCTTTGTGTTTCATTTTATACATAAATTGTGCTATATAAATAATTAGAAGTAGTGGTATTATGAGTAGTAGTAGCAGTATGGGTCCCCAGCATTTAGAGACTACTGTATGCTAATGTGATATATGCTTGGAAATTAGCATAATAACTTATATGGATTATATTTCAGCAATTGCTTGGATGATCTGGACAACACTGGAGCAGTTTTGGGGGTTGTTGAGGATGCTGAATCAATTTCTGACATACTTAAAATTCAAAACAGCTGTTTTAACCAGAAGTAGCCTTATTTTATCTTCCTGTGGGACAATTAATGAATTTTAGGTCTATTTGCAGAATCAGCTTGGACTGGACAGATCACATATGTATTTTAAATAAATAAAATAACTTTAATTTGGTAATAAATTGTAGGATATTACCAATGAACACAATTAACAAATGATGCAGAACACGGACATTCATAGACCATTACATTCTGAGGTGACTCGCATTTGGGTATTGGAGGTAACATGACAAGCAGGCCTGCTATAGCAAACTAGAATAATATGACTATGGCTAAATAATATCCTCAAAAAGAGAGAATAACACAAAATGTTTTAACAGGTACAACACATGAGTCCTGGAATAGGTTTTAAAGCGTTGGTGTGTTGGTGAAATCACAGCCTCAGACAGTTACAGCCTCTACCTACCTGAAATTGAATTAATTTGAATGTGATCAGCTTCAATAAATGTTCAATACACACATTTTGTGGAAGGGTACTAAATCTGTTAAAGCTCTTTGTGTTGATGTGTTTTCATGTCTTTACACTTTCTCTGCC